TCTCGAACCCATGGGCTCAGGCAATCCACTCACCTCAGCCTCCCAAAGGCGTGGGATTACAGGATGAGCCACAGAGCCCGGCTGGTATGTAGTTTTATTTCTGGGTTCTCTATTCTGTTCTATTGATTTGTGTGTCTATTTTTTATACTGGTGACATGCTGTTTTGGTTGCTATAGCTTTGTAGTATAATTTGAAGTCAGGTAATGTGATGCCTCCAGCTTTGTTCTTTTGGCTTAGAATTGCTTTGGCTATTTGGGTGTTTTTTGTTTTTGTTTGGTTTGGTTCCATATAAATTTTAGGGTTTTTTTTTTCTAATTCTATGAAAAATGACATTGTTATTTTGATAGGAATTGTACTGAATCTGTTAATTGATTTGGGCAATATGGCCATTTTAATGACGATTACTCTGATCTGTAAGTGAAGGTTTTTTTTTTCCATTTGTTTTTGTCATCTTTAATTTCCTTCATCAGTGTTTTGTAGTTTTCCTTATAGATATCTTTCACTTCCTTAATTAAATATATTCCTAGGTATTTTATTACATATATTCCTAAGTATTTTATTCTTTTGGGAGCTATAGTAAATGGGATTGACTTTTTGATTTGGTTCTCAGTTTGACAATGTTTTAAGAGTTCTTGAGAGCTACGTTATAGAAATTGTCACACATATACAGATGCTATACACAGGAAGACAGTCTTTGTAATATAGCAGAAAATTAAAAAACAAAAGACTATTTAAAAAAATGTTCTAATATAAGAAGGATTAAGTTAATGTATTAACTCAAAATATTATGTAACATTTTATAAGATAAACATGTGTTCTATAGGAAAGCAAACTAAGGCTGGAGAGGGCTGCCTGTTTCTTTAAATATAATTTTATTAGAAAGCAAGATGCCCATTGATTTAGAAATTGTCTGTGGCTGCTTTTGTGCACAATGGCAGAAACTTCATACTTAATAAATGTTATATAGAATACTCATAAATCTTAGAAGCTCAAGAGAACATACCAATAATACAGTCTCAAGGACAAAAAAATAAAAAAGAGAGAGGCCTAAG